CATACACCTCCATAACTCTGTTTCCTCCACTGTAGGCCCGGCAGCCGCCATTCTACTATCTGTCTCAGATTTTCACCCTCCTAAATAGCTCACTTAAGTGGGATCCTAGGGCATTTGCCTTTGATCATGGTGGTGGTTATGAGAAAGGGTATCACTTGTAGCCCAGGCTGGCCTCGAACTCGTAACCCAAGTGTCAGGATTACAGGCATGCTCCACCACACCTGGCAGTATATTATATGCCTTTTTGTGTTTGGCTTAATTTGCTTTATCCATGTTATAGTATATTCCAGAATTTCCTTTCCAAGATTCATTAATGATAATGGTGACGATAATAATAACAATATACATGTGTGCACGTGTGTGCACATGTGTGCACATACAACTTCCTTATCTAGTCACCTGTTGATGGATATTGGGTTCGGATCCATATTTTATCCATTGTGATTAATACAGCTAAAGGTAAGAGTATCCAGATCTTTAAGATCTTGCTTTCAGTTCTAGAGTGGAGATTATTGTATCAGAAAATGTTTCTGTAATTCTCGGAAGACCCTCCTGAGCGTGCCTACTTGAAGCTGGAGCCTCATGTAAGAGCTGTGAGCTACATAGCAGACAGCAGTTACAGGAGACAGGGACACCAGCCCAGAGGTCTCCAGGTCAGTCCTCTGGATGCCTGCAAAGCCAGAGCTATCTGATCCCTGCAGCCCAGTCAGTCAGCTGCAGAAAGACCGCTTGAGAGGGCAGTCATCCTGGTGATTTGGATGCTATTTCAGTAGCAAATCACAGAGACGCTGAGCAATCTGAAATACATCCCATGTGTCTATGTCCATTTCCTCCTAACTGCTCCAAGGGAAGCACTCCTGGTCACCCACTTCCAAGGTCTGTCGGGACACGTGAGTACCCATGGAGTGGACCTGGGGAAGGAGCAGCTCCCCGATGACCTTTTGGGTTCAAGGTGTGTGCCCCTGCTGGCCGAGGTGTATGAGGTGGGTTGCTATTCTTAGAGGGTGATTTTTTTTTTTTTTTGATCCGTGTCCTTAAGCTCCAGGTTTTGTCAAGACTTGTTTCTCTGTGTAGCTCAGGTTGACCTAGAACCTGCTCTGTAGATCAAGCTGACCTTGAACTCACAGAGATCCGCCTGCCTCTGCCTCCCAAGTGCTGGGATTAAAGGCATGCAGCCACCACCACCATACTAGAGTATGGTTCTTATTTTTATTCTTATGCTTCTGAGACCTCCACCTTTTCTATTTTTATCGCTCATTCTCCCCTGTCGTCCCGTCCCCCCCCCCCCCTCTGCCATCTGTTCTAAGGCCTGGCCGTCAGGCCAACCTTCCCTATTGTTAACAAGACATACAAGGCTGTTGTCCCCTGTGCTTTTCCAGGCTGCTGTCTCCCCAGCACTGGCTTCCACAGCCCAGGCTGTGTAACCTGCTGAGTCAGCAGTCAGCTGAGACAAAACACCCAGGGTGTTGGTTTGCAGAGCCACACAGATGCTCTGGAAACCTGGCCTCCTTGTTTCTTCCTCCTCGGGCTCCTGACTTCCCTTCCTCTTTTCTGGCACACTTCGGCTTTTCCATCCCCAGGAGTTCTGTCATTTTCTGGCCAGGTTTCCTGGTCTCTAGGTTCCTGTGATTATGAGTGTTGGCTTTTCCCAGAATGCTAGGGTGGATGGCACACTGGGTGAAGAGAAGGCAGGAAGACTGATGCAGCTTTGACCTTCAGGACGGGGAAAGTGACGCCTAACAGGATGGGCCCATCTGCCATTCTTCCTGGCCATGCTTGGTGTGAGTCATAACGCTGGACAAGTGAGCCGGGGAGTGAGACAGTCACTGTGCAGCAGAGCATAGGCAAATGGGATGGACCGAACAGTGCTGGCCGCCCCGGCCTCTCCTGCTCTGCTCACCTGGCTCACAGAGGTGGAAAGGGAAGGCAGCCCAGGGGACTCTGTCTCGTGTAGTCTTACCCAGGATGCCTGGTGCATTGTTCTGAGAACCAGCCTACCTCTGTTTATCTGGTGTCATTAGTGCCCTGCAGGTCACGATCCCTGAGTCAGGGCACCTAATACTTGCCTGCCACTCCAGAGCAGACACTTAGCACCCTGTGGGGAACTAGGCTGACATGACTCACTAGACTAGCATTTTACACTCTCCGAAGAGGGGCAAGGATGGTTGTCAATGAAAGTGTTCAGCCATGATGAAATTTGATTAGGGAAAACCCTGTGACACTCAGCAACTCTGGGGAAGGGAGTATTTACCTCAGAGTAGGCAATACTCAGTCAAGGGGCTGTCAGCTCAGTGGCTAGAGCTGTTGTTTAGAAAGTCATATCCAAGATGATCTTCAAGGTGGAAGTAAATATGAGCACACGCCTACACAGTGCTACAACTGCGAAAGGCTTTAGAAAGATGAGCCGGGCGCAGTGGCACATGCCCCTGGGAGGCAGAGAAAGGTGGTCTCTGTGAGTTCAAGTCCCGCCTGGTCTACATAATGAGTTCCAAAAGAGCCAGAGATACAGAGTGAGTGAGACCCTATCTTTAAAAAAACAACAAAACCAAAACCAAACTGAAACAAAGAAAGAAATATGTTGTGTAGAATCATGAATATGCTAGATGCAGAACAAGGTTCTGAGTACATTAAATCCTGCCAAGAGATAGTCAGTGGCTGCCTATCTATTTCTCTATTAGGAAGAGAGAAAACCCATTTTCCTTCTTGGCACAGGTCATCAGACCAGGTGTGTTCAGAACTTGGGGAATGTTGCTCTGTAACTCCAGTAGCATTGCGGTGGCTGTGAACATGGGTAGGGTATGAAGGCTAGGATCGGAAGTCACAGGGCAATGCCCGCCCTCCAACATCTCTTTACACCAGTTGTTCCTAGCCACCCTTTCTTGTGCCTTCTCATAAAGGTGTCTGGGTTTTTCTGCTCTTACAAGCTGTCTTTTGACTGGCTACCATTTCTAAGATAAGCCTGGGCTTGTAAGAAAAGAATAGACTCTTTTTATGACCTTCAAAATATTTTGCTTGCTGCCATGACCTAAAATAAACCTTTATTTAGGGGAGACCGAGGGTTGGTTCTAATTAATTCCAGGATTTCTTTTATTTGTTTTTGTATTTTTTATGTGTAGGGCTAGGGTGGAACCCAGAGCCTCTCACATGTTAGAAGATGTTCTGCCCCTGAGGCACACCCCCAGAAAATTCATTAGTATTTTTTTTTTTAATTCCGTACTCTTGGCCAAGATCCACATCATGGATATCGAAACAGGCCATGTTTATTAGCAATGTGGCCTATAATATCCAGAGCCAGGAGGGCTGTTGAGTAACTCGTCACAGTTTTGTGGTAAAAAGCCAAGTCAATGTGTGTGGTAAGAATCACCATTTAGAACTCTTGGGCTTGTACTCTCTCCTGGGAAACCGGAGGGGAAACACCAATCCCTGTACTTCTCACCCCCTCTTAGGAAACCTGAGATGTGTCCTCAGGTGCTGTGATTTAATCCTGTGAAGTTTTAGTAGGAAGTAAGCAAAGCAAAATGTTCCTTCCCACTTCACTGAGAGCATTCTGTTGCTCAGTTAATGTGTCCAAAGCAACAAACAGCTTCTCTCAGTCGTGAGGTCATCTATGTCATAGAATTTAGGGCCTGTCTCTGAGAATTGGTTCCAGGCAGCACCAGCAGCCTGGTGGCTCCCACTAGCTAGAGTCCGTCCACTGGCTAGCAGGCTGCTCCTTGCTCGCCGGCTCTAAGTGCAATGCATCTCCATCCTTCCATCACCCCACCCCAGAGTAAAGCTTCTTCACAGCAAAGCTCTGCCCACTCTCATTTGTCCCAGAGGCAACTAATGATGTGGTGGGTTGTTTTAACTGGATCACCACAAGAGTGCTGTGGCCAGAATTGTCCTAGCATTAGACTCAGAGGACTCTGGGGGCTTCAAGAGTTCAAGCCTGGAGACCTTCCTCAGACCATCTGAATGGGAATTCAAAGCTGCCTAAAGAAGACTGACTTCTGAGGGTCATGCAACCCCCAGTGCAGACTCCAGGCTGGGGTAGGGGCTCCCTGCACTCCCTGTCATATGTTTCTAAATAGTCGTTCAAATAAAACATGGCACAAAAGGGATCAGGGGAGGCCTGGTTAAGGAAGTACATAGGTTGCTGTTTCCCACCTGTTCTAATGTCTATGTGCGTACACATACGGTGGTGGTGACTGTTTCTGATAAGTACTCGGTATGGATAACATCACTGTTATTGTAAAATACGAATGTGGGGAAAATGTGACAGCCGTAAACCCATCCTGCATGTACCACGTGCGGTGGAAAGCTTTGTGAATCTTATGTGCCAAGTGACTCCAGTGTGTCTCCTGATTCTTAGTCATCTTCGACATGGTCCTTTGGCTTTCTTCAGCCCCCTCTCTACTAATTCTCATGGTAGTCTTTTAAGGGGGCTTGTCCTCCTGCTGGCCTTGTACAGATTGCTGAAGCTAGGGTCTTGTGCAGAGTCCTGGGCTCTCAGATACCTGGAGAGTTTCCATTCCTGCTATACACTGATGCCTCCTAAACCTGGTCCCTCTCACCAGCCACTCAGTAAACCTCAAAGTCATTCATACTAAGAACCTCCATTTAGTGGGGTCAGGACAGTGAGCTCACCAACCATCCCCACAAATGAGTGCTTAGGATTTTAATCTCTTGGCTTGATGTAGTTTCCTAGTGGCCTCCATCCGACAACTGAGAATCACTGTTGGCTGATGGGTAGGAGACCCTCGTGAAACAGCTGGTGACTTCCCTGCCCAGTCTTGCGTGCCTGCCTTGCCTAGCCAAAGCCACAGCAGGCTGTGCATTGCCCACTGTAACATCGTCTCTGTGGCCGTGTCACCCACTGGACTGTCAGCTCCCCACCACCGAGATGGTGCCTGGAGTGTTTATTGCACACAGATCAGGGATGTGACTATCACAGGAGCATGTCTCCTGGGAAATGAACAGAGATGTTGACCGTTTTCCTTTTCCTCCTTGTTTTCCATTAGATTAAGGTGACAGTGCCGGGCAGATCAGCACCATTCCACCGCCCCTCTGCGGAGCTGTGCCAAGAGTAGGGGAACATGGAGGAGAGGAAACAGGAGACAACGAACCAAGCTCACGTCCTCTTTGACCGCTTTGTCCAGGCCACCACCTGCAAGGGGACCCTCAGGGCCTTCCAAGAGCTCTGTGACCACCTGGAGCTGAAGCCCAAGGACTACCGTTCCTTCTACCACAAGCTCAAGTCCAAGCTCAACTACTGGAAGGCCAAAGCCCTCTGGGCCAAATTGGACAAGCGGGGCAGTCACAAAGACTACAAAAAGGGCAAAGCCTGCACCAACACAAAGGTAGGGAGAGGCTGGGAGGAGAGCCAGGCTCAGCCGGGCGGAAAGGGTTCCTTCCACCCACCAGACTCGTGGCTGAGTGTATTTCACGTAGTCAGTTATTGAATGTTCAAGGTTTGAGGGTAGGTCGATAGTAACTTTATTTCCTGACACCTCGCCCTAGCCTCACATTGGCAGGAGAATGCAGGTTGCTTAACAGGGACACAGCCAGGCCCATATGAGCATCCTTGGCTTCATGGTTCCTGGCCTGTCACCTTTTCCAGGGTCATCTTTCCTATTTAGCACCTGGTAAGGATCTGTCACAAGGTCTGCTGGAATTCACAAACAAGGACCCTGCAAACTGAAGTATTTCTGATGCTGTCTTCCTAGCATGGAAATAAGTCAGTTTCCATGAAATAGCTTTGGACTGAGACCTGAGAGATGTACTCAACTGAATTGGGGTAGGAGTGAGGAAGTGAAGGAGAGAGAGGGGCGTTCCCTGCCACCTTCTCTGAAGAAATCCTTTTGGGAGAAGTTTGGGGAAAGTTAGTAAACAAATTTCCAGTGGCTTCAGGGCTGCTATTTTGGCTTTTCATGACTTTTAATTTACCCTGTGGGGACACCCAGAGAGCCACCCCATAGAGAAATGTAAGGATCTGAAGGCCTGGTTTTGACAAGCAACTACACTTTAACTTAAAATAAAATAATGGGAGCTCAGAGGTAGACTGCTTGCTTCACAGGCCCTGGGTCCCCAGCCTCTTCTCCCCAAAATCACACACACACACACACTATGTATTTTAAAACAAGACAGAACACAACTCCACTGTCAGGGCATCTGATGCCTGTGACCTCTGCTGAAAGAGTTAAACAGATGGTGTACATACATATACATATACTCAGGCTTACATAGACACGATAGATAGATAGATAGATAGATAGATAGATAGATAGATAGATAGATA